CCCACATGCCGCGGAGTGGCTGGGCCCATGAGCCATGGCTGCTGAGCCTGCGCGTCCGGAGCCTGTGCTCCGCAAACGGGAGAGGCCACAACAGTGAGAGGCCCGCGTACCACCACCACAACAACAACAACAAAATGTAGCAAAAACCTTTCTAATCATCTCCCTTTGATTTTTTAACAGCTTTATTGACATATAATTCACATACCATACAATTTACCCATTTAAAGTATACAATCCAGTGGTTTTTACTGTGTCCACAGAGTTGTGTGACTATCACCACAATCAATTTTAGAACATTTTCATTACCCCCCAAAGAAATTCTGTACCCATTTACAGTCACTTCTCTTTTCCCCTCAACCTGTAGACCTAAGCAACAATTAATCTCCTTTCTGTCTGTATAGATTTGCTTGTTCTGGACATTTCATATAAATGGAGTTATATAAAATGTGGCCTTAGCAATTTTGAAGTATATAATACAGTATTGTTGACTACAATTAGTGTGCTGTACACTAGATGTTCAGAACTTACTAATCTTCTAGTTGCAAGTCTGTACCCTTTTACAACATCTCCCCAATTCCTGTACCCCCCAGCCCCTGGTAACCACCATTCTACTCTGGTTCTATAAGGTTCACATTTTTAGATTCCACATATGAGTAATATCATACAATATTTGTCTTTCTTTGACTAGCTTATCTCACTAAGCATGGTGCCCTTAAGATCCATCCCTGTTGTTGCAAATGGCAGGACTTTCATTTTTCTCATGGCTCAATAATATTCCATTATATATATACACTACATCTTCTTTATCCATGCATCCATTGACAGATACTTATCTTGTTTCCATATCTTGCCTGTTGTGAAATAATGCTGCAGTAAACATAGGAATACAGATATCCTTTCAATATCCTGCTTTCATTTCCTTCAGATAGAAACTCAGAAATGGAATTGCTAGATATATATGGTAGTTGTATTTTTAATTTTTTAAAGGAAACTCCATACTGGTTTTCATAGTGATTGAACCAATTTACATTCCCACCAGCAGTGCATAAGGTTTCCCTTTTCTCCGTATGCTCACCAACACTTATCTCTTTCTTCTTGATGATAGCCATTCTAACTGGTATGAGGTTGATATTTCATTGTGGTTTTTATTTGCATATTCCTGATGACGTGTGATGTTGAGCATCTTTTAATGTACCTGTTGGCCATTTGTATATCTTCTTTGGAAAAATTCTATTCAGTTCCTCTGCCCATTTTTTAATCCAATTGTTTGTTTTTTTGTTATTGAGTTGTATTAATTCTTTATATATTTTGGATGATAACCCCTTATCCAATATATGGTTTGTAAATATTTTCTCCCTTTCTATAAGTTGCCTTTTCATTTTGTTGATTGTTTCTTTTCATGTCCAGAATCTCTGTAGTTTGATGTAGTCCAACTTATTGATTTTGCTTTTGTTGCTTGTGCTTTTGGTACGCTAAATATCATTGCAAAGACCAATGTCAAGAACTTTCTTCCCTATATTTTCTTCTAGGTGTTTTATTGGTTTCAGGTCTTACATTTAAGTCTTTAATCCATTTCAAGTTAATTTTTTGAGTGATGTATATAGGGGTCCAATTTCAATTTTCTGCATGTGGCTATCCATGTGGTTTTCCCAACACCATTTGCTGAAGAGACCATCCTTTCCCCGTTGAGTGTTTTTGACTCCCTTGTCAAATCTTAGTTGACTCTATATGTGGGGGTTTATTTCTGGTCTCTCTATTTTGTTCCAATGGTCCATGTATCTATTTTTGCCAGCAATACTGTTTTAATTACTATAGCTTTATAGTATAGTTTGAAATCAGGAAGTGTAATGCCTCTGGCCTTGTTCTTCTTAGGATTACTATGGCTATTTGGGATCTTTTGTGGTTTCATATACATTTTAGGATTGTTTTTTCTATTTCCATCAAAAATGCCATTGGAATTTTGATAGAGATCACATTGAATCTGTAGATGACTTTGGGTACTATGAATATTTTAACAGTATTAATTTTTCTGATCCATGAACATGGGATATATTTCCATTTGTTTGTAATTTCTTTCATCAAAGTCTTGTAGTTTTTATCACACAGATCTTCACTTCCTTGGTTAAGTTTATTCCTAAATATTTTATTATTTTTTATGGTATTGTGATTGGGATAGTTTTATTACTTTTGTTGATATTTTGTTATTATATAGAAACAACTGATTTCTGTATGTTGATTTTATATCCTGCAACTTTATTGAATTCATAGATTAGTTTAACAGTTTTTTTGGTTGAATCTTTAAGATTTTCTATGTGTAATATCATATCATCTTAAATAATGGCAATTTTACTTCTTCCTTTCCAATTTGGATGC